GAAGACACTGTACTTGGTCATGCCCCAGTGACCAGCCTCTAACCAGGACCCACCTCCTGCTGTTGCAGGTCAGCTACAGCCCCCATGATCTAACCACATTCCACACACATAAGAATTTAAGGGACATTTTACTTCCAAACCATAACACATTTCTTGGTCATCTTGACTTTGGGAAAGAGCCAGAATTTGCAGCCTGTCTTTTGTCAGATAGTATCCAGCAGTAGCATTCACTGAATTTTTTTGTCATACTTCATAAAGACATTGACAAAAGAGGATTTCCAGAATTGCTTCAGAAAGTGTCAAGAATGATGATATTAATGTGTTTGAAGTGAGGGAGAGTATTTTGAGGGAAATAAATGGCAATGTGTCTTTTACTGTAATACATGTTAAAAATGTAAATACATAACATATTTTTTGCTCAGTCCTTGTACTACAAATCCACAGTAACAAAAACAGCATGGTATTAGCATAAAAATAGGTGTAGACCAATGAAACAGAATAGAGGACACAGAAACAAAACCACACAGCTACAACCACCTAATTCTTGATAAAGAGGCCTAAAACATACAATGGAGACAATACAATCTCTTTAAAAATGGTGCCAGGAAAGCTGAATATTTACTTGCAGAAGACTAAAAGCAGATAACTAGATTCCTCTCTCTCACCCTGCACTAAAATAAATTCAAAATGGATCAAAGATCTAGACATAAAAACAGAAACTTTGAAACTGCTGCAAGATAGTACAGAGGAAACATTTGAAGCCATAGGCACAGGCACAAAGTTCCTGAATAGAACTCCAATAGCTCAGGAAATAATAGCAAGAGTCAACAAATAGAACTGCATCAATTTAAAAGACTCCTGTACAGCAAAGGAAACAATTATAGAGTAAAGAGGCAGACTACAGAGTGGGAGAAAATCTTTGTGAGCTACTTGTCTAACAGAGGATTCATATCCAGAATATAAGAACTCAATAAATTTAACACCAAAACAACAAGTATTTAATTCATAAATGGGAAAATAAACTAAACAGACATCTTTCAAGAGAAGTACAAACTATCCATAATTATATGAAAGAAAAGTAAACATCGTTAACCCTTTGGAAAATGCAAATCCAAATTACATAGAAATTCCATCTTACCCCAGTCAGAATGGCTATCATCAAGAATGAAAAAAATAATAAATGCTGGCAAGGATGTAGGGAAACAGAAACCCTTACACACATTTTTTAAAAACTATATGTGAGTGTTTATAGCAGCTTTAATTGTAATGGTCCTAAACTGAAAATAATCCAGATGTCCTCCACAGGGGTATGATTAAACAAACTGTCCTTCACCCATACTATGACAAATTTACATAAATGAAACACAGAAGTGGTTGGCAGATGTTAGAAGGGGTGGGATGGGCAGAAAGTGAATGTGGCTATAATGGGGGAACAGGAGGAATACCTGTGGTGGAAATGTTCTCTGCCTTGTTTTAATATCAGGTTGTACTATATTGAACTACAGTATATATAGTCTTGCAAGATGTTACCATTGGAGAAAACTAGATAAAGGATACACAGGGCCAGTCTTATTTCTTACAACTGCGGGTAAATCTCCAATGATCTCAAAATAAAAAGTTGAACTTTAACGATTGTGTATATAAATAGCAAATGACAGAGAATACCTAAGACCATCTTGAACAAAATGAAAAACATGGGTGGAGATGTAGAGCTATATGATGTGACAATTATCTTTAGGAAACAGTTTCACATGAAATTAAACATACACTTGATTCTATCCTACAATTTATTTCCTGGATATAGATCTTAGGGAAAAAAGAATGTGCACAGCAGCATTGTTTTGATAGCAAAAATAAAGCTGGGTATATTTTCTAATGTTAATTTGCTAATGTATTTTGGTTACATAAGATGTTTCCATGGGGCATCAGGGCAAAGATATACAGAAACTTCCTGTACTATTTTTTACCACCTCTATGTGAATCTAAAATTGTTTCATTAAAAAAAACTGGACATTTTACAGAAAATAATTTAAAAATTGGGGCAGACAGTGAAATTCTGTACTAAACCTGAGTGGAAATGAAAGAATTACTGCTATATGTATTAAAAGAGGAATCTCAGGAACATAATATGAAGAAAAGTACAAGTCATAGAACAGAACATATAGTTTGAAAGCTTACATTAAATTCAAAACATGCAGAAGAAAACAAAGTATTGTTGAAGTACACATCCAAATGTTTCAAAACTCAAAGAAAAGTCAAGGTTCTGGATTTCCAAGTTGAGGATGAAGGAAGAAAAAGAAAACATGGTAGGAGGGGAGGCTCAAGAGTATTGTGACATTTAATTTCCCCAACTGGGTGGAGAACAAGTGGGCATTCACAGTGAGGTTTTCTTTATAACTTCTGTATACATACAAAGGTTGATCAAACATATGGTGAATGTTAAAAAATTATTGCAGTAGAAGACACATTGCTGTTATTCCCCTCAAAATACTTCCCCTTACTTTGACTATACTTATCCCATCACTCTTGCCACTTTCTGAAGCAGTTCTGCAAGTCCTCTTTCGCGAATGCCTTTAGAGGTGTGATCAAAATTATGGTGAATATTGGTGCTGAGTGCCATCTAACAGAAAGACAAGCTCATAAAAACATTACAGCATGTCTTCATCCACATTATTCACCAGATCTGGTACTGTGAGACTTCTGGCTCTTCCCCAAAGTCAAAATGACCATGAAAGGTAAACATTTTAAACTGATTCAGGACATTGTGGCAGCCACATGTAGCTAAACAACAGGAAAGAGGGCTTCCAGAACTGCTTCAGAAAGTGACAAGAACAATGGGATAAGTGTGTTGAAAGTAAGAGAGGGGGATCGCTTCTCGGCCTTTTGGCTAAGGTCAAGTATAGAAGTAAGAGAGGGTATTTTGAGGGGGATTAATGGCAATGTGGCTTTCACTGTAATACATTTTAAAAAATTTAAACAGTGTATTTTTTATGATACCTCATAACATACACTTCAAAAAATGTTTTACAAAATTTTAAAAGATGGAACACAAAGATGCTATGTGGAAGAATCTCTAGTGGGGTTCTCAAAGTGAGGTTCACTGTGGTCACATTTTCTACTACTCACTGATAGTCTGGGTGCTCTAGGGCAGGCTAAGGGCAGGCCCAAACTACAGAGATACAAAGCAATGACAGAGATGGAGAAGGAGAGAGACAGAGCAGATATGGAGTCTCTGAGGTTCTAATTCCCACAGCATCATGTCCACATTCTTTGAGCCACACGAGTACCTACCCCAGCTGCATGAGCCAGCCCAGAAGTTGGAGTTGGGTTTTGATATTTAAACTAGAAGAATCTTGACAGAGTCCTGCAAGGCATCCTGGCCCATGGTCAGCCCAGCTAGATATGATAAGCACAATGGTTAATTGGGGGTGCTCAGAGTGCCCACACCCCAAGCCCTCCACCCCATACTATCCTAGGCTGAGAGAAAGCACGTTCAACTGCTGCCTTGTCACAGATGATCTCCAGAGGATAGCGTGAGAAGGTGTAGGGAGATGGGTCCAGATGTTGTCACAGGGTGCAGGTTAAAGGACTGCTGCCTGGACCGGCGGCTTCCCTGGCCCCTCCGTGGAGGGACCATTCCTAGAGGCAGGAAGGGCAAGCTTCCTCCAGTCCCATGCTGGATGTGGTGGTCTCCTAAAACAGAGGTGGGGTGGGAAGTGGGAGTTGTTATGATTTGGGTTCTACACATGTCTTCAAGAATCCAACAAGTATTTCTTAAGCTCTGCGCTAGAGTCTTAGGGTCCTGGGGTGGAGCCTCAGCTGCTGCTTTCCCTGAAACTTGCTGCTAGGAGTTGAATACGTTATAGGAGAGAGACTCGGAGCCAGACAGCTTGAGCAAGACCTGTAAGTCCAAAGTGAGTAATAAATGTCTGCTGGAAATCTGCAGATAAAGGATGCATCTACTTCTTTTTGTGTAACACACACAGAGTGTACTCCAGACCTTCTGATGATAACCCCAAGTAAACATTCATGGAACAGTCACAGTAGAACAAGGCCACAGGGTGGCAGGAGAGGAAGAGGTAGCTTGGTAAAACCTCCATTAACCAGGATGTTGTGGGATTGAGCTGTTCTGGGCGTACTGCTAACGCTTGGCATATGCTCTTTGCCTGTACCTTTATGGTACAGGCGAGTACACAGGAAAATGGGAGGCTGCCGTCCGGCCCTCGGGGACCTTATTGTCCATACACTGCCTGTGCAAAGAGTGGCGTTTTTCAGTCTGGCAGCATGAGAGTCAAAAAGAGCAGGACACTGGAAATAGCCGCGCTGGCACTAAGGGCGTCGCTGCGCCTTCCCTCCCTTGTGCAGGTTAGGATTTAGCATAAAATGAGCCATATAAGCAGCTGGTTTGAGGTAAACGCGTCCTATACCGGCGCCTCCTCTGTCGCTCGTCAGGTCTGAAGGGAAACCGACCGATCCTACCCAAGTTCCCCCTAGTCCCCCGTAAAGGGTCGGGTCTAGCGGAAGGGCGGCCTAGCAGCCGGGCAACAGTCGCGCCCCCGCCCCCACCCCCGCCAGCGCCCGGTATCGGTGAATCTTCCCAACCACACCACATCCTGGCTCTCCCTCAACCTTTCCTCGCTCTCGGACGACCGCGCTGTGCACGGGGTCTCGCGAGGTGGAGGAAGGGTCAGGCATCTAGGTTTAAAGGGCCAGAAGCAAAAGTCCCCTGACAATTCCGTGCCATTTTTCTGGGTTCAAAAGAGTAGAGTGGGGAACACGGACGGGACGTGGCAGGTGCGCAGGGGCCTCTCCCGGGCAAGGCGAGAGGGAGCTCTACCGCCCGGGTGCGGGCGCTGGGTGGGCGGGCACACACCCCCAGCCCCGCAGCGCCGCGGGCCCCGCATGACATCAGAGGCTGGGGAGCGCGCAGAGCGCAGGCGCCGGCGGAGAAGGCACGGGAGGGGGCCGAGCGGCGCGATCGGGAGAGCGCTCCTCCGCCCCGCGCGCGGTCCCTGCGCCCGCTCCGCCCGCGCCTCGCTGCCTGCGCCGCGTCTCGGGTGTCCAGCGCGCGCCCCTAGCTCCGCAGCCAGCGCCGCCCTCGGCAGCCCCGCCGCGCCTTCGTCTTCTTCCTCCTGTCCGCCGCCGGACACGCAGCCGCAGGCCGGGGCCGGGACGCAGCTGGGGAGTCAGGGACGCGCGCAGCCAGCCCTTCCCCCTCCGGCTCCCGCACCGCCGGCCGCCTCCCCTCGCCCTCCTCCTCTCCCCTCCCTGCTCCTTCGCTTCCTCCTCCTCCTCCTCCTCTCCCGGCTCCGACTGCCAGCAACATGTCTGCAGGGGGAGATTTTGGGAACCCACTGAGAAAATTCAAGTTGGTGTTCCTGGGGGAGCAGAGCGGTGAGTACCCGGCTCAATCTCCTGGCTCGGCGCCGCGTCTCCCAGCCGCCCATTCGCCCACCCCGTGGGCCCTGGGCCCCAAAAGGCCCTTCGGGTTTGGCTGGAGGGGAGGGATGAGGATGGGGAGGCCCCGGGAGGGGCTGGGCGGGAGGGCCGGAGGGTGAAGAAGACTCGGAGGTTCAGCGGCCAGTGCTGGTGCAGGGTGGGCTTGGGCGGGGACGGGCGCAGGTGCGGTGCGCGTGGGGCAGAGGGTGGCGGCCGGCCGGGCGCGGGGATCGCAGCCTCGCTCGCACTGCGGCACCGGCTGCGGGCGACGGCGCAGGTGGCCGGATGCCGGCGGCGGGGGGTGGGGGAGAGCAGGGGAGCGCGCCCCTCTGGGGAGAGCGAGGTGTGGCTGGAGTCTGGCCACCCCTGCAGGGCTGTGCTGGAGAGCTTCCCTGCGGATCCTGGCCAGAACGCTACGAAAGGGCACGTCCAGGCCCGGAGCAGGAGGTTGCTGGGCGAGAGACCACAACCTGTCTCTTCCCGAAAGAGCTGGTGCGAGGCACGGGAAAACGGGGCTCGTCGTCGTCCCCCCGCCCGCCCCCCGGCTTAAGTCCGACCAGGTTCTGTGGAAGGTACCAGATCCGCAGCCCTTCACCGGCATCTTTGCTTCCTTGGGGCTTCAGGGTGTGGATGATGACAGCGAAGCTTCCCCGAATGCCAGGTGATGTGGTAGATGACACAAGGGCCCCTAGCCTGGTGCTGGGCAGAGAAAGGCTCAGGCGACACGCCCTGCCCGGGTTCCCAGCCCCCTCCTGAGAACATCGGAACATCTTCGGCCGCAGATTCTTCCCACCCCCACCGCCCAGCTCACCGCCCTTCTTGGGGGAGGGGAGGTCACCGAGGGAGCTGGCCAGAGCCAGAGCAGGGAGACTGTGGGCTCTTTGCTGCCCAGAATCCTCCTCAAAGAAAAGCATCCCTAACGCCCAGGTTGGTCCAAGTGGGAGCCTAGGTTGAGGAGCAGGGACCTCTCTGACACCTGTGGGAAGGATTGGCTCCCAGAGCATCCTCCAGGGGCCTCTCACACTGAGGCTTCAGGAGACAAGCTGGGCCCTGAGCACCTCGGCTGCACGAGGACGCCTCTCCGGGGGACAGGACTTCCAGCTTGTCTCTGCTGACCGTCTACAGGGGGCCGAGACTGGAGGGCCTCGTGGGCTCAGGCAACAGTGCGGCTGTGAGATGTGCATATGGGCTCTGAGGTCACATGGCTACCTCCTGTCTGCTGATGCTCCTTACCTGAGATGGAGTGTTGGAAAGAGGGTGTTAGAAGGTGGTCCCTTGGCCCTAACGTGGAGACGTGCCCTTGGGACATTTCAGCTCAAGATCAACTCACCTAGCTGCCCTTGTATCCTGGACTCTATGCTTTCCTGTTCTTAACAGATCCTGGTGTTGGGGACTTTTCCCTGTGTCTGGAAGAGATTTGGGAAACAGTCAGTCCTAGGGGTGGGTGAAGAGTGGGAGGGGGACTGGAGGTATCAGGGAGCCTAGCAATTCTTAGTTGTGCTGCCTTGAGCTAGATGTGAGGCCTCTTGGAGACTCAGTTTTTCCCTTGGAAAAACGGTAGCTTGAAGGCACTTCCTACTCCTTCATGTTTCCCCATGTGCTTATACTGTGTGGTTGGATCTCAATGAACATTATTTCAAGTCTGAACACACTTCCATAAAGAACCTGAAGTTTGATGAGGAAAATTCGTGGGGTGAATTTGAGTGAAAATTCTGGGCTCCTTCTGAAACTGATGGGCGAAGCCCCCCAGTAAGCCTTGCAAACCTCTTGTTCGTAAGACCACAGAAACAGAACCGGAGCCTAAAAAGAAAAACCATGCCCACCACTTATGCAGCCTGTTTGGCCTGTTATTGGGAGGGGAGCCCCAGGGAAGGAGGAAGGCTTGCCCCGAGTCCCATTGTGAGTTGTGGACACTTCCAGAGCAGAAACCCACATCTCGCTTTCCAGGCCACCATTCTTCACGAGCATGTCATTGGGAAATGAGATGACCTTGAACTGGGGAAGCCAAGAATCAGGGAGCCTCTGTGAGAGGGACTGAGGGTTCAGAGATGGCTGGGTTTGGTGACCTAGTGGGCATGTTGGTCTGGTGGGTTGGAAGCAGGATTTTGTGGCCTTTGGAACATGGTCATTAGAGGCACTGCCGTCAGTGAGATTGGTTGCTGGCTCCCCTGATCCCTTCTGGCAGGGAGCCATAAGGCCCTGAACAGCCTCCTTAAACCTTGTGTCATTAGTGAGTCATTTAGGTTGTGCAGAGTTAGGTAGAGCATATATGCACCTTTGAGCCTGGTGAAATGGGGGAATTGCCACTGCTGCCACCTCTTTCATCTTGCCTGTGCAGTTGAACCTCTGCTGGTCCTATGTGTGAGCACCCTCTGCAGCGTGTGCAGTAGAGGGAACCTCCTGAGGTCTGGTCCTTGCTCCTCTTCTGGCTCTCCCTATGTGATCTGGGAGACCCTTCACCTTCTATAGAGGGAAACGCTATAGTTTCTGCAGGGCCTGCTGAGCCCTGCAGAACCTTCTAGAATATCATAGGCCTGCCTTTATGAGCTGAATCCCCTAGAGAGAGGTCAGTGGAAGAGGCTAGAGGGACTTAGCCTTCTCTTGTTTCCTGTGCCTGGCATTGTGGTGGGATCTCTCTAGGCTGGATTCCAAAGAGGAATGCCATGCCTGGAGCAGGGTAAGAAGGAAGATTTTCCTCTAAGGGTTAAGGAGCCCAAGTGGCCTCTCTTGCTCATGGCTCATACTCCTCTGCCCATGGGCTGAGTCCTGCCCTCCATGTAGCCGTCCCATCCCTGTCATGGAGCTCTCCCAGCTTTCTTCTCCCCACCAACTCCCAGACCTGTTCCTGCCTTGTGAGGTTGCCAGCCCACCTTGCCATGCACCATGGCACAGCTTTGGGGTTTTTATTGAGCATTTTAAAAAATTGCTTACATGCTGCCCCGTGATCTTTTTTCTGTTGCATCTGTTAACTTAGGATTTTTAAATGTTTATTAACCTTGTCAGGTACAGAGACCCTAACTGAATTTTAAGCACCCAAGGACAACCCTAAGCAGCACTTTTAGAAGACTGTCTCAGTCATCATTTTAACCATCCCCCGTTCCTCTCCATCTGTGGGCAATTTGTGCTCACTGAATATCTTGATTTGAAAATGATGATATTATCCTGGATGTGTAAGATTTGATGATGGCCCATCAGATTAAAAGCGAAGGGAGCTGGGGCTGGGGATTTAGCTGAGTGGTTCCGCCACCTGCCTCACAAGCGCAAGATCCTGAGCTCGATCCCCAGTACCAAAAAAAAAAAATGAAGGGAGTCAAGGAGGCTTTGAAATAGGATTCCTTCATCCTGGCACCTGCTGCTTTCTCAAGCCAAAGATTCTTACCAGGGACACTTAAGACTTTTTTTTAGAGAGGATTGGATCATTAAGCCTTGGTCATGCCCAAATCAGAGTTCATCTCAAAGAACCTGAAGTTCTCAGGGACCCACCCCTCTCCACTGTATCTCTGAAAAAATATGGGAAACCAGCTAGGCCACCAGAGGTGAGAAGGGACATGGCAGACCTGGTCCTGCCAGGACTTCCTTGGAGATGGAAAAAATCACCGCATTTTCTGTACCTTAGTATCTGTCTTGCTTTCTGTCCTCCCAATTTTTCTCCCTCCTTCATTGGCTAGCATGAAATGGGGGACCTTGGATGTCTGGTGCACACCCAGAACCTTTACTTTTTACTCGTTTAAAGAGAAACCAAGATGAGTGTATTAATCTATTTTCCATTATTACAGTGAAATAACTGAAGCAGGGTAACTTTATAAAGAAATTATTTAGTTCACAGTTCTGGATCATTAATCAAGAGCAAAGTGGTGGCTTTAGCTCAGCTCTGGGGAGGACCTCATAGCTTGGTGGTATCCCAGTGGTGAGAATACATGTGGGAACAAGAGGTCACATCACAAAAAACAGCATCCCAGAGACATGGAGTCCCATCATCCCTTCTGAAAGGATACCCCCACTTGGTCTAAGAATCTCCTATAAATCCTACCTCTTTTTTTTTCTCTCTCTCTCTTTCCAATACCAAGAATCAAGCTCAGGACCTTTTGTTTTCAAGGCAGGGGTAGTACCACGGAGCTAAATCCCCAGCTTTTTTTTTTTTTTTTTTTTTTTTTTGGTGGTGGTGGTGGTGGTAGTAGTACTGGGGGTTGAATCCAGAGCTTCTGAACTGAGCTATATCCCAAACTCTTTTTTTTTTGATACCAGGGATTGAACTCGGGTCCTTGCGCTTGAGCAGCAGGCAGCGAAACCACTGAGCTAAATCCCCGGCCCCCAAACTCTTTTTATTTTATTTCAAGACAGTGTCTTGCTAAGTCACTAAGTTGTTCCGGGTGGGCTCGACTTGTGATCCTTCTGCCTCAGCCCCTCAGAAAGCAGGGATTACAGACATGCACTGATATGCTCAGCTTGTCTTGCCTCTTAAATATACTACCACCACACTGAGGACCAAGCCTCTAATGCTAAACCTTTGGAGGACAGACTCCCATTGCAACCATAGCCATAAAAATTAACCTGAATTTACCAGAAGAGAAAATGGCAACCTCAATACAAGAGAACTTGCCAGTAGAGAAAAAAGAAACTTAGAAAATGTTCTGGTTGTATAGTAATAGTAATTACCACCTTTTGCCCATACATTGGTCATGTGTCCCATCTAGGCTGAAGGGTCCCTTGTCTTTCCCATCTTTTGTCTTCTACTGTTGCTGAATGTGCGGGGCTGCATGATGTCAATTTATGAATATTTTAGAGAAATTGTTGGACAAAACCATTGAGGAACATGAAAGTGAGGTAAAATAGCAAAACCTGTAAACACCAGGGGTGGACTATGGAGTACTGTACTAGGCATTTCTCAGCTGTCTATCTGTCTGAGATCCTTTTCCATTTCTCACCATGGAGAAGAGAAGATGAGGGAGCCCTGG